CACACCACGCACACGGACCCCACACCACACGGACCCCACACCACGCAGACCCCACACCACGCGGACCGCACACCACGCACACGGACACCACACCACACGGACCCCACACCATGCAGACCACACACCACACGGACCCCACACCATGCAGACCCCATACCATGCGGACCCCACACCATGCACACGGACACCACACCACACGGACCCCACACCACACGGACCCCACACCACGCGGACCCCACACCACACGGACCCCACACCACGCACACGGACCCCACACCACGCACACGGACCCCACACCACGCAGACCCCACACCACACCATACCACACAGATACCACACCACACCACACGGACCCCACACCATGCGGACCTCTCACGGCTGCCCCGTGGGGAGAGTGGGGGCGTGGGGCCGAGGGGAAGGGTGCTGAGTGGACCGGGGTCTCATGAAGACCTGACGTCTCACACCAGGGAGACGTGTCTCCCCCGCCTGGCCTGGCCCCGGGGTCGGCACCGCACGGACCTTAGGGGAATCTGGCCGGGGGAAATGCAACTGGAGGCATGGCTCCAGCGGTGGAGCACCAGCCAGGAGCCAGCACACGGCAGAGCGAGCGCCAAGCCCGGGCTGGTCGTGAGGCCCTGGGCACCAAGGCTGGGCCGGCCAGGACCTCAGAGCACCCGGCCTGGCTCCACTCCAGCCCTGCACCTGACAACCACTCACCTCGGCCTGCCCTCCCTCATCGGTGGCCCGCCCTCAGACGCCCTCGGGAGGATCAGCAGGGGAGATGCGGCCAGTACCAACGGCCAGCATGGCCGGGCCGGTGCCGCACCGCGCAGACCGCCGGCAGCACTCACCCAGATATCACATTTGCCAGGAAAGAAGCGCTCGGGGATGCGCGCGGCGTAGAGCGCAGCCCCTGTGATGTACAGACTGGCCATGAGCATGAGCCAGCCGATCTGCCCGATGGTGGCCGCCTTCAGGAAGCCCTCCGAGATGACATAGTGCAGGGTGGGGATGATGCCACTCAGGCCCAGGCCCA